CTAACTAGCCAACTAACTAGACAACTAACCAGTCAACTGACAAGACAACTAACTAGCCAACTAACTAGCCAACTAACTATACAACTAACTATACAACTAACTAGACAACTAACCAACTAACTATACAACTAGTCAACTAACTCCAGGTAAACTCCAGGTAAACTAGGCAAGTAACTAGACAACTAACTACACAACTAACTAGCCAACTAACTATACAACTAGTCAACTAACTAGACAACTAACTAGACAACTAACTAGACAACTAACTAGCCAACTAACTATACAACTAGTCAACTAACTAGACAACTAACTAGACAACTAACTAGCCAATTAACTAGACAACTAACTAGACAACTAACTAGCCAACTAACTATACAACTAGTCAACTTACTAGACAACTAACTAGACAACTAACTAGACAACTAACTAGCCGACTAACTATACAACTAGTCAACTAACTTGACAACTAACTAGACAACTAACTAGCCAACTAACTAGACAACTAACTAGACAACTAACTAGCCAACTAACTATACAACTAACTAGACAACTAAGCAGACAACTAACTAGACAACTAACTAGCCAACTAACTATACAACTAGTCAACTAGCTAGACAACTAACTAGACAACTAACTAGCCAACTAACTAGACAACTAACTAGACAACTACTAGCCAACTAACTATACAACTAGTCAACTAACTAGACAACTAACTAGACAACTAACTAGACAACTAATTAAACAACTAACTAGCCGACTAACTATACAACTAGTCAACTAACTAGACAACTAACTAGACTACTAACTAGCCAACTAACTAGACATCTAACTAGACAACTAACTAGACAACTAACTAGACAACTAACTAGACAACTAACTATACAACTAGTCAACTAACTAGACAATTAACTAGACAACTAACTAGCCAACTAAATATACAACTAGTCAACTAACTAGACAACTAACTAGACAACTAACTATACAACGAGTCAACTAACTAGCCAACTAACTATACAACTAGTCAACTAACTAGACAACTAACTAGACAACTAACTAGCCAACTAACTAGACAACTAACTAGACAACTAACTAGCCAACTAACTATACAACTAGTCAACTAACTAGACAACTAACTAGACAACTAACTAGACAACTAACTAGCCAACTAACTATACAACTAGTCAACTAACTAGACAACTACCTAGACAACTAACTAGCCAACTAACTAGACAACTAACTAGACAACTAACTAGACAACTAACTAGACAACTAACTATACAACTAACTAGACAACTAACTAGACAACTAGTCAACTAACTAGACAACTAGTCAACTAACTAGACAACTAACTATACAACTAGTCAACTAACTAGACAACTAACTAGACAACTAACTAGCCAACTAACTAGACAACTAACTAGACAACTAACTAGACAACTAACTATACAACTAACTATACAACTAACTAGACAACTAACTATACAACTAGTCAACTAACTAGACAACTAACTAGACAACTAACTATACAACTTGTCAATTAACTAGACAACTAACTAGCCAACTAACTAGACAACTAACTAGACAACTAACTAGCCAACTAACTATACAACTAGTCAACTAACTAGACAACTAACTAGCCAACTAACTAGCCAACTAACTAGCCAACTAACTATACAACTAGTCAACTAACTAGACAACTAACTAGCCAACTAACTATACAACTAGTCAACTAACTAGACAACTAACTAGACAACTAACTAGCCAACTAACTAGACAACTAACTAGACAACTAACTAGCCAACTAACTATACAACTAGTCAACTAACTAGACAACTAACTAGACAACTAACTAGCCAACTAACTAGACAACTAACTAGACAACTAACTAGACAACTAACTATACAACTAGTCAACTAACTAGACAACTAACTAGACAACTAACTAGACAACTAACTAGCCAACTAACTATACAACTAGTCAACTAATTAGACAACTAACTAGACAACTAACTAGCCAACTAAACTAGACAACTAACTAGACAACTAACTAGACAACTAACTATACAACTAACTAGACAACTAACTAGACAACTAGTCAACTAACTAGACAACTAACTATACAACTAGTCAACTAACTAGACAACTAACTAGACAACTAACTAGCCAACTAACTAGACAACTAACTAGACAAATAACTAGACAACTAACTATACAACTAACTATACAACTAACTAGACAACTAACTATACAACTAGTCAACTAACTAGACAACTAACTATACAACTTGTCAATTAACTAGACAACTAACTAGCCAACTAACTAGACAACTAACTAGCCAACTAACTAGACAACTAACTAGACAACTACTAGCCAACTAACTATACAACTAGTCAACTAACTAGACAACTAACTAGACAACTAACTAGACAACTAATTAAACAACTAACTAGCCGACTAACTATACAACTAGTCAACTAACTAGACAACTAACTAGACTACTAACTAGCCAACTAACTAGACATCTAACTAGACAACTAACTAGACAACTAACTAGACAACTAACTAGACAACTAACTATACAACTAGTCAACTAACTAGACAATTAACTAGACAACTAACTAGCCAACTAAATATACAACTAGTCAACTAACTAGACAACTAACTAGACAACTAACTATACAACGAGTCAACTAACTAGCCAACTAACTATACAACTAGTCAACTAACTAGACAACTAACTAGACAACTAACTAGCCAACTAACTAGACAACTAACTAGACAACTAACTAGCCAACTAACTATACAACTAGTCAACTAACTAGACAACTAACTAGACAACTAACTAGACAACTAACTAGCCAACTAACTATACAACTAGTCAACTAACTAGACAACTACCTAGACAACTAACTAGCCAACTAACTAGACAACTAACTAGACAACTAACTAGACAACTAACTAGACAACTAACTATACAACTAATTAGACAACTAACTAGACAACTAGTCAACTAACTAGACAACTAGTCAACTAACTAGACAACTAACTATACAACTAGTCAACTAACTAGACAACTAACTAGACAACTAACTAGCCAACTAACTAGACAACTAACTAGACAACTAACTAGACAACTAACTATACAACTAACTATACAACTAACTAGACAACTAACTATACAACTAGTCAACTAACTAGACAACTAACTAGACAACTAACTATACAACTTGTCAATTAACTAGACAACTAACTAGCCAACTAACTAGACAACTAACTAGACAACTAACTAGCCAACTAACTATACAACTAGTCAACTAACTAGACAACTAACTAGCCAACTAACTAGCCAACTAACTAGCCAACTAACTATACAACTAGTCAACTAACTAGACAACTAACTAGCCAACTAACTATACAACTAGTCAACTAACTAGACAACTAACTAGACAACTAACTAGCCAACTAACTAGACAACTAACTAGACAACTAACTAGCCAACTAACTATACAACTAGTCAACTAACTAGACAACTAACTAGACAACTAACTAGCCAACTAACTAGACAACTAACTAGACAACTAACTAGACAACTAACTATACAACTAGTCAAAATAACTAGACAACTAACTAGACAACTAACTAGACAACTAACTAGCCAACTAACTATACAACTAGTCAACTAATTAGACAACTAACTAGACAACTAACTAGCCAACTAACTAGACAACTAACTAGACAACTAACTAGACAACTAACTATACAACTAACTAGACAACTAACTAGACAACTAGTCAACTAACTAGACAACTAACTATACAACTAGTCAACTAACTAGACAACTAACTAGACAACTAACTAGCCAACTAACTAGACAACTAACTAGACAAATAACTAGACAACTAACTATACAACTAACTATACAACTAACTAGACAACTAACTATACAACTAGTCAACTAACTAGACAACTAACTATACAACTTGTCAATTAACTAGACAACTAACTAGCCAACTAACTAGACAACTAACTAGCCAACTAACTATACAACTAGTCAACTAACTAGACAACTAACTAGCCAACTAACTATAACAACTAGTCAACTAACTAGACAACTAACTAGCCAACTAACTAGCCAACTAACTAGCCAACTAACTATACAACTAGTCAACTAACTAGACAACTAACTAGCCAACTAACTATACAACTAGTCAACTAACTAGACAACTAACTAGACAACTAACTAGCCAACTAACTAGCCAACTAACTATACAACTAGTCAACTAACTAGACAACTAACTAGACAACTAACTAGCCAACTAACTAGCCAACTAACTATACAACTAGTCAACTAACTAGACAACTACCTAGACAACTAACTAGCCAACTAACTAGACAACTAACTGGACAACTAACTAGACAACTAACTAGCCAACTAACTATACAACTAACTAGACAACTAACTAGACAACTAACTAGACAACTAACTCGACAACTAACTAGACAACTAACTAGATAACTAACTATACAACTAGTCAACTAACTTACAACTAACCAGATAACTAACTATACAACTAGTCAACTAACTAGACAACTAACTAGATAACTAACTATACAACTAGTCAACTAACTAGACAACTAACTAGATAACTAACTATACGACTAGACAACTAACTAGACAACTAACTAGCCAACTAACTAGACAACTAACTAGCCAACTAACTAGACAACTAACTAGCCAACTAACTAGACAACTATCTATACAACTAGTCAACTAACTAGTCAACTAACTAGACAACTAACTAGCCAACTAACTAGACAACTAACTAGACAACTAACTGGACAACTAACTAGCCAACTAACTAGACAACTAACTAGACAACTAACTAGACAACTAACTAGACAACTAACTAGACAACTAACTAGACAACTAACTAGCCAACTAACTAGACAACTAACTAGACAACTAACTAGACAACTAACTTGGTACTAGGTTATGAGGTACCTCAAGCCACCACAACCCTTCAACCCAGCAGTAACACTCCCTCAGTGTCAGTACTCTGGCTGACAGTGGCAGAGAATCAGCAGTGTGAGTACTCTGGCTGACAGTGGCAGAGAATCAGCAGTGTAAGTACTCTGGCTGACAGTGGCAGAGAATCAGCAGTGTGAGTACTCTGGCTGACAGTGGTGGAGAATCAGCAGTGTCAGTACTCTGGCTGACAGTGGCAGAGAATCAGCAGTGTGAGTACTCTGGCTGACAGTGGCAGAGAATCAGCAGTGTGAGTACTCTGGCTGACAGTGGTGGAGAATCAGCAGTGTGAGTACTCTGGCTGACAGTGGCAGAGAATCAGCAGTGTGAGTACTCTGGCTGACAGTGGCAGAGAATCAGCAGTGTGAGTACTCTGGCTGACAGTGGTGGAGAATCAGCAGTGTCAGTACTCTGGCTGACTGTGGCAGAGAATCAGCAGTGTGAGTACTCTGGCTGACAGTGGCAGAGAATCAGCAGTGTGAGTACTCTGGGTGACAGTGGCAGAGAATCAGCAGTGTCAGTACTCTGGCTGACAGTGGCAGAGAATCAGCAGTGTGAGTACTCTGGCTGACAGTGGCAGAGAATCAGCAGTGTCAGTACTCTGGCTGACAGTGGCAGAGAATCAGCAGTGTGAGTACTCTGGCTGACAGTGGCAGAGAATCAGCAGTGTGAGTACTCTGGCTGACAGTGGCAGAGAATCAGCAGTGTCAGTACTCTGGCTGACAGTGGCAGAGAATCAGCAGTGTGAGTACTCTGGCTGACAGTGGCAGAGAATCAGCAGTGTGAGTACTCTGGCTGACAGTGGCAGAGAATCAGCAGTGTGAGTACTCTGGCTGACAGTGGCAGAGAATCAGCAGTGTGAGTACTCTGGCTGACAGTGGTGGAGAATCAGCAGTGTCAGTACTCTGGCTGACTGTGGCAGAGAATCAGCAGTGTGAGTACTCTGGCTGACTGTGGCAGAGAATCAGCAGCGTGAGTACTCTGGCTGACAGTGGCAGAGAATCAGCAGTGTGAGTACTCTGGCTGACAGTGGCAGAGAATCAGCAGTGTGAGTACTCTGGCTGACAGTGGCAGAGAATCAGCAGTGTGAGTATTCTGGCTGACAGTGGCAGAGAATCAGCAGTGTGAGTACTCTGGCTGACAGTGGTGGAGAATCAGCAGTGTCAGTACTCTGGCTGACAGTGGCAGAGAATCAGCAGTGTGAGTACTCTGGCTGACAGTGGCAGAGAATCAGCAGTGTGAGTACTCTGGCTGACAGTGGCAGAGAATCAGCAGTGTGAGTACTCTGGCTGACAGTGGTGGAGAATCAGCAGTGTCAGTACTCTGGCTGACAGTGGCAGAGAATCAGCAGTGTGAGTACTCTGGCTGACAGTGGCAGAGAATCAGCAGTGTGAGTACTCTGGCTGACAGTGGTGGAGAATCAGCAGTGTGAGTACTCTGGCTGACAGTGGCAGAGAATCAGCAGTGTGAGTACTCTGGCTGACAGTGGCAGAGAAATCAGCAGTGTGAGTACTCTGGCTGACAGTGGTGGAGAATCAGCAGTGTCAGTACTCTGGCTGACAGTGGCAGAGAATCAGCAGTGTCAGTACTCTGGCTGACAGTGGCAGAGAATCAGCAGTGTCAGTACTCTGGCTGACAGTGGCAGAGAATCAGCAGTGTGAGTACTCTGGCTGACAATGGTGGAGAATCAGCAGTGTGAGTACTCTGGCCGACAGTGGCAGAGAATCAGCAGTGTCAGTACTCTGGCTGACAGTGGCAGAGAATCAGCAGTGTGAGTACTCTGGCTGTCAGTGGCAGAGAATCAGCAGTGTCAGTACTGTGGCTGACAGTGGCAGAGAATCAGCAGTGTCAGTACTCTGGCTGACAGTGGCAGAGAATCAGCAGTGTGAGTACTCTGGCTGACAGTGGTGGAGAATCAGCAGTGTCAGTACTCTGGCTGACAGTGGTGGAGAATCAGCAGTGTCAGTACCCTGGCTGACAGTGGTGGAGAATCAGCAGTGTCAGTACTCTGGCTGACAGTGGTGGAGAATCAGCAGTGTCAGTACTCTGGCTGATAGTGGTGGAGAATCAGCAGTGTCAGTACTCTGGCTGACAGTGGTGGAGAATCAGCAGTGTCAGTACTCTGGCTGACAGTGGCAGAGAATCAGCAGTCAGTACTCTGGCTGACAGTGGCAGAGAATCAGCAGTGTCAGTACTCTGGCTGTCAGTGGCAGAGAATCAGCAGTGTCAGTACTCTGAATCAGCAGTGTCAGTACTCTGGCTGACAGTGGCAGAGAATCAGCAGTGTGAGTACTCTGGCTGACAGTGGCAGAGAATCAGCAGTGTCAGTACTCTGGCTGACAGTGGCAGAGAATCAGCAGTCAGTACTCTGGCTGACAGTTGCAGAGAATCAACAGTGTCAGTACTCTGGCTGACAGTGGCAGAGAATCAGCAGTGTCAGTACTCTGGCTGACAGTGGCAGAGAATCAGCAGTGTCAGTACTCTGGCTGTCAGTGGCAGAGAATCAGCAGTCAGTACTCTGGCTGACAGTGGCAGAGAATCAGCAGTGTGAGTACTCTGGCTGACAGTGGCAGAGAATCAGCAGTGTCAGTACTCTGGCTGACAGTGGTGGAGAATCAGCAGTGTCAGTACTCTGGCTGACAGTGGCGGAGAATCAAAAGTGTCAGTACTCTGGCTGACAGTGGCAGAGAATCAGCAGTGTCAGTACTCAGGCTGACAGTGGCAGAGAATCAGCAGTGTCAGTACTCTGGCTGACAGTGACAGAGAATCAGCAGTGTAAGTACTCTGGCTGACAGTGGCAGAGAATCAGCAGTGTGAGTACTCTGGCTGACAGTGGCAGAGAATCAGCAGTGTGAGTACTTGGCTGACAGTGGCAGAGAATCAGCAGTGTCAGTACTCTGGCTGACAGTGGCAGAATCAGCAGTGTGAGTACTCTGGCTGACAGTGGCAGAGAATCAGCAGTGTGAGTACTCTGGCTGACAGTGGCAGAGAATCAGCAGTGTGAGTACTCTGGCTGACAGTGGCAGAGAATCAGCATGTGAGTACTCTGGCTGACAGTGGCAGAGAATCAGCAGTGTGAGTACTCTGGCTGACAGTGGCAGAGAATCAGCAGTGTGAGTACTCTGGCTGACAGTGGCAGAGAATCAGCAGTGTGAGTACTCTGGCTGACAGTGGCAGAGAATCAGCAGTGTGAGTACTCTGGCTGACAGTGGCAGAGAATCAGCAGTGTGAGTACTCTGGCTGACAGTGGCAGAGAATCAGCAGTGTGAGTACTCTGGCTGACAGTGGCAGAGAATCAGCAGTGTGAGTACTCTGGCTGACAGTGGTGGAGAATCAGCAGTGTGAGTACTCTGGCTGACAGTGGTGGAGAATCAGCAGTGTCAGTACTCTGGCTGACAGTGGCAGAGAATCAGCAGTGTGAGTACTCTGGCTGACAGTGGCAGGAATCAGCAGTGTGAGTACTCTGGCTGACAGTGGTGGAGAATCAGCAGTGTGAGTACTCTGGCTGACAGTGGCAGAGAAATCAGCAGTGTGAGTACTCTGGCTGACAGTGGCAGAGAATCAGCAGTGTGAGTACTCTGGCTGACAGTGGCAGAGAATCAGCAGTGTGAGTACTCTGGCTGACAGTGGTGGAGAATCAGCAGTGTGAGTACTCTGGCTGACAGTGGTGGAGAATCAGCAGTGTGAGTACTCTGGCTGACAGTGGCAGAGAATCAGCAGTGTGAGTACTCTGGCTGACAGTGGCAGAGAATCAGCAGTGTGAGTACTCTGGCTGACAGTGGTGGAGAATCAGCAGTGTCAGTACTCTGGCTGACAGTGGCAGAGAATCAGCAGTGTGAGTACTCTGGCTGACAGTGGCAGAGAATCAGCAGTGTGAGTACTCTGGCTGACAGGGTGGAGAATCAGCAGTGTCAGTACTCTGGCTGACAGTGGCAGAGAATCAGCAGTGTGAGTACTCTGGCTGACAGTGGCAGAGAATCAGCAGTGTGAGTACTCTGGCTGACAGTGGTGGAGAATCAGCAGTGTGAGTACTCTGGCTGACAGTGGCAGAGAATCAGCAGTGTGAGTACTCTGGCTGACAGTGGCAGAGAATCAGCAGTGTCAGTACTCTGGCTGACAGTGGCAGAGAATCAGCAGTGTCAGTACTCTGGCTGACAGTGGTGGTTTGCACCAGGTTTTTAATGTTGAGTGGGTCTGGAAAACAATTTGGTTTTTATTGTGGGTTTTATTGTGGGTTTTTATTTGGGTTTTTATTGTGGGTTTTATTGTGGGTTTTTATTGTGGGTTTTATTGTGGGTTTTTATTGTGGGTTTTTATTGTGGGTTTTTATTGTGGGTTTTATTGTGGGATTTTATTGTGGGTTTTTTGTGGGTTTTTTTTTGGGTTTTTATTGTGGGTTTTTTTTTTTTGGGTTTTATTGTGGGTTTTTATTGTGGGTTTTTTTGTGGGTTTTTTTTTGGGTTTTTATTGTGGGTTTTTTGTGGGGTTTTATTGTGGATTTTTTTGTGGGTTTTATTTGGGTTTTTTTTTGTGGTTTTTTATTGTGGGTTTTATTGTGGGGCTTATTGTGGGTTTTTATTGTGGGTTTTTTTTGTGGGTTTTTTTTGTGGGTTTTTTTGGGGTTTTATTGTGGGGTTTTTTTTGGGTTTTATTGTGGGGTTTTTATTTTGGGTTTTTTTGTGGGTTTTATTTGGGTTTTTTTTTGTGGGTTTTTTTTTGTGAGTTTTATTTTGGGTTTTTTTTGTGGGTTTTTTTGTGGGGTTTTTTTGTGGGTTTTTATTGTGGGTTTTTATTGTGGGTTTTATTGTGGTTTTTATGTGGGGTTTTTTTTGTGGGGTTTTTTTTGTGGGGTTTTTATTGTGGTTTATTTTGGGTTTTTATTGGGGTTTTATTGTGGTTTTTTTTGTGGTTTTTTTTGGGTTTTTTTTTTGGGTTTTTTTTTGTGGTTTTTTTTTTTGGGGTTTTTTTTGTGGGGTTTTTTTGGGTTTTTTTTGTGGGTTTTTTTTGTGGCTTTATTGTGGGTTTTTATTGTGGGTTTTTATTGTGGGCTTTTATTTTGGGGTTTTTTTTTGTGGGTTTTTATTGGGGTTTTTTTTGGGGTTTTATTGTGGGTTTTTTTTGTGGGTTTTTATTGTGGGTTTTAAATTTTGGGCTTTTTGTGGGTTTTATTTTGGGGTTTTTTTTGTTTTTATTTTGGGTTTTTATTGTGGGTTTTTTGTGGGTTTTATTGGGGTTTTTATTGTGGGTTTTATTGTGGGTTTTATTGTGAGTTTTTATTTTGGGTTTTTATTTTGGGGTTTTTTTGTGGGTTTTTATTGTGGGCTTTATTTTGGGTTTTTATTTGGGTTTTATTGTGGGTTTTTTATTTTTGGGTTTTTATTTTGGGTTTTATTTTGGGCTTTTATTTTTGGGTTTTTTTGTGGGTTTTTTTTGTGGGTTTTATTTGGGCTTTATTGTGGGTTTTTATTGTGGGTTTTTATTTTGGGTTTTATTGGGGTTTTATTTTGGGGTTTTATTGTGGGTTTTTTGTGGCGTTTTTTTTTTTGGGTTTTTATTGTAGGTTTTATTGTGGGTTTTTATTGTGGGTTTTTATTGTGGGTTTTTTTTGTGATTTTTTTTTTGGGTTTTTATTGTGGGGTTTTTTTTTTTTTTGGGTTTTTTTTTGTGGGTTTTATTTTGGGGGTTTTTTTTGTGGGTTTTTTTTGTGGGGTTTTTATGTGGGTTTTTTTATTGTGGGTTTTATTGTGGGTTTTTTTTTGTGGGTTTTTTTTGGGGGTTTTTTTTGGGTTTTATTTTGGTTTTTATTGTGGGTTTTTTTGTGGGTTTTATTTTGGGTTTTTTTTTGTGGGTTTTATTGTGGGTTTTTTGTGGGTTTTTTGTGGGTTTTTTTTTGGGTTTTTATTTTGGGGGTTTTTTTTGGGTTTTATTGTGGGGTTTTTATTGTGAGTCTTATTTTGGGTTTTTTTTGTGAGTTTTATTGTGGGTTTTTATTTTGGGGTTTTTTTTTGTGGGTTTTATTTGGGTTTTTTTTTGTGGGTTTTTTTTTTGTGGGGTTTTTTTGTGGGTTTTATTGGGGCTTTATTGTGGGTTTTTTTTGTGGGTTTTTTTGTGGGTTTTTTTTTTGGGGTTTTTTTTTGGGGTTTTTTTTGGGTTTTTTTGTAGGTTTTTTTTGGGTTTTATTGGGGTTTTTATTTTTTGGGGTTTTTTTTGTGGGGGTTTTTTTTGTGGGGTTTTATTTTGGGGGTTTTTTTGTGGGTTTTTATGTGGGTTTTTTTTTGGGCTTTTATTGTGGGGTTTTATTGTGGTTTTTACTGTGGGTTTTTTTGTGGGTTTTTTTGTGGTTTTTGTCGTGGGGGTTTATTTGGTTTTTTATTGTGGGGTTTTATTGTGGGGTTTTTTTGGGGGTTTTATTTTGGGGTTTTTTTTGTGGGGTTTTTTTGTGGGGTTTTTATTTGGGGGTTTTTATTTTGGGTTTTTTTTTGGGGGTTTTTATTGTGGGTTTTTTTTGGGGTTTTTATTGTGGTTTTTGTGGGGTTTTTTGGGGTTTTATTGTGGTTTTTGTTTGGGGTTTATTGTGGTTTTTATTGGGGGTTTTATTTGGGTTTTTATTGGGCTTTTATTGTGGGGGTTTTTTTTGGTTTTTTTGTGGGGTTTTATTGTGGTTTTTGCTTTATTGGGGTTTTTTTTTGGGTTTTATTGTTTTTTTGTGGGTTTTATTTTGGGTTTTTATTGTGGGTTTTATTTTAGGTTTTATTGTTGTTTTTATTGTGGGTTTTATTTTGGGTTTTATTGTAGTATTTTATTGTGGGTTTTCAATTCTGACCAGAAATGTCTTGGGACTTTTTTTTTTTGGTTGGTGGTGGGGGGGTTATTTTGGTGGGTAATATGTACTGTGATTGTTATTATGTGTACCTGTGCCTGAACCTACTGACATACATACTGATATACATATTTATATACATGCATACATACATACATACATACTTGGCTAACACATTGAGGTCCGTAGTTCGATACCCGGTACGGGTGGAAATATTGGAGCGTGTTTCACCTAGCAGTAATTAGGTACCTGGATGATAGTCACCTTACACCTGCTGTCAGTATTCAGCTAGCAGTAAGTAGGCACATACTTGGGTGTTAGGTGACTGGTGTGGGTTGCATCCTGAGGACAAAATTAACCTATGTTGTGGGAAATGCTCTGCATAACCAGGGACTTGAAGATAAGATTTTGTTGGATTTTTAACCCCGGTGGGTTAGCCACCCAGGATAACCCAAGAAAGGCAGTGCGTCATCGAGGGACTGTCTGTCTTATTTCCATTGTGGTCCTTTGATTTTGTACCCCAGGATGCCACCCACACCAGTCAACTTACACCCAGGTACCTACTTGCTAGGTGAATGGGACAACAGATGTTAGGAAACATGCGCAATGTTAACAACCTTACATGGGATCGAACCACGGACACTCATTGTGTGAGGCGAGAGCGTTGCCTACCAGGCCACGGGCCACGTTTCTATGTAGTCTGTCATTGATGTCATTTATTGTCTGTATAAATTGTAGCATGTAGAAATAAATATTATTTTCAGAAAGCTATCCAAGAGTGATTAAACATGGCTGGGCATTCTGTTCCGATTGACTTCAGGGTTAATCCTGCAAAAGTTTCCAACCCAGGTAGGTAATAACGAAAGGCTTTTGTTTTTATAATCATTTTTAACGTTAATCAACACGTGCAAATGCAAACTTTATTGCTCTAAAGTGGAATACGGTTTATTATACAATTTGAGTGATTGATATACAGCCTCTCCTCACTTAGCGACGTACTCGTTTACTGATGACTCGGACTTAGGATGGGTTCTCTGACCAGTATGCATACCTAAATAATGTATATTAGAGCTGATTTCGTCTATTCTGTTTATTTCAGTATACAGTATATACATGTACTTAAGAATACACCAGAAATGTTATAAATGGTGCAAACCAACCATACCCCCGGCCGGGATTGAACCCGCGGTCATAGAGTCTCAAAACTCCAGCCCGTCGCGCTAGCCACTAGACCAGCTAGCCACAATAAGATTCATCCAACTAGGTATATTTCTACACCATAGGAAAGTTAGCACAGGCACCTCTGTGACCACAAATGCAAGTTTTTACAGACGAATCTCCAGCTAGCGTTTATTTGCAGTCGTGTCATTACGATTTCTTAAGTCATGGTGCAAACGTAACATTAAAACAATATCAAAGATAGTTGACACAAACTCTCCACCATTCTAGTATGCTCCTCACTTAACGATGAATTCGTTTACCAACATGGTCTTAGGAACGTAACTCCATCGTTAACTGAGGAGATGCTGTATACTACTATTCAGCCGGGGATTGAAGATCACACACTGAGTGTTCGTGGTTCTATCCCAAGCCCGGTGGAAACATTGGGCCTGTTTCCTTACATGTGCTGTCGCTGTTCACCTAGCAGTAAGTAGGTACTTGGGTGTTAGTTGATTGGTGTGGGTGGCATCCTGACTTACTTGGGTTATCCTGGGTGGCTAATCCTCCCTGGGTTGTACTAGAGGGCTAACCCTCCTCTAGGTTAAAAATCCAAACATCTTACAGAAAGTCCATAGATATGCATAACATTTTGAGCAGTATTAAAACTAAATTACGATTGCAATTGAGAAAAAGAACACGTACTTGGTTTTTAAGATATACAGTAGTCCCCCCCATTTCCATGGGGATACCTTCCAAGACCTACCATGGATACCTGAAACCGGGGATAGTGGGGAACCCTATACAGCCTCTCCTAATTTAATGATGGAGTTCCGTTCCTAAGACCACATTGGTAAACAAATTCGTCACTATGTGAGGGCATACTATAATGGTAGTGGGTTTGTGTCAGCCATCTTTGATATTGTTTTAATGTTGCCTTTGCACCATTTATAACATTTCTGGTACATTTTTAAATGTTTATACATGAGTATAATGCATTAAACAGAATAGAGGAAATCATCTTTAATATATATTATTTAGGTAAGCATACTGGTCAGAGAGCCCGTCATAAGCCTGAGTCGTCAGTAAACAAGTACAGTGGTACCTCGAGTTACGAACTTAATTCGTTCCAGAAAGCTGTTCCCATAAGGAATAATGTAAATTAGATTAGTCCATTTCAGACCCCCAGAAATACACATACAAATGCATTAACAAAAATACACTTACATAATTGTTCGAGTTGGAAGCTGTTCGAAACTCAAGGTACCACTGTATATATCGCTAAGTGAGGAGAGGCTGTATACAAGTCATTTTTCATTTAAATTATGCAAAATAAGTCTAGAATTATCACTGTTTCACTGATGGGAAGCACTTCACAGCTTCTCTTAGGCTTTGAAGAACTGCCACCATCACTGCTTTTGCACTTTGGGGTCATTATTAAGCAAAATTAAGAGTTATTTTTGGGCCACGGTAAACAATGGATAACTGAAATGGTGGATACCGAATCCATGGATACGGGTGGTAGATGTGTGTCTGTATTTTTCTATCCTGAGAAGAAGAAACGTTTAGGGACAATAGTCTCCTCAGTAAAGGTTCCTTGATGCTGGCCACAGGATCTTGGTCAAAGAAATTGGACATGTGCACCATGTCCTTGGATTGAACTTAATGCCTCCCATCCTCCAGGCATTATATGACCCATACAGGTTTATCATTCCCCCATGAATGTAATGCTAATATATAATATGGAGTTTAGTAATACGTACAGGCGGGCCCCACTTATACAGCAGGGCTGCTGCTGTGAAGCAAAAATTGCTGTAAAGTGAGTTGTAGCCTTTTTCCTCTTTCAAAGGTAAATAGGCCTGGTAACATGTTTATACTATCATATATTCAATAAGCAATATATCTAGGCCTAAAAAATGTATATACAACCAGAATGCTGTAAAGTGAAGCACTGTGATGTAGTGCTCTCCTATATTGGTGGACATTATCAAATTGGCAAACCTGGCTGTCTTCTACCAAGGTAGGGTGACCGGGGGAAAAAAATAAAGCACTTGTATTATTCAATAGGTATCTTGCCAGTTTACTTTATTCCAAGTATATCCCCTTTATTGTAAGTGATTTTCGAACAGTTGCATTACTTAGCTGTTGTAGCTTCTAAGGTTTAAATAATAAGATATTACAAGAACCCCAATGGAAATAAATCTTGGGGTTTTTTTTTTTTTTTTGGGGGGGGGGGGAGGGTTTGTCCTAGGTAATTTACATTATGTATGATAATTGTACTTGTGTGTACGTTTGCCTAAATAAACTTCAGTGCACAGACATTACAGTTCAGACAGTGCTTCAGTCTGCTGCGTCATCGCCTATCCTTCAGAGTACAGGCACTCTACTATCCACCTCTAGTACACAAGTTTACCTAACCAGCTTCTGTAAATTCCTCCATAAATGTTATATACCTTACATGTATGCCAGCAGCACATTATATATCTATACCATATTTTCTTTTTCAGTGGAGAGGAAAACTTTGTTGCAGGATCTGTTACCGCTCATTGAACCTTTCACAGGACCCTTAATTGAGGTAAGTTCTGTGTTCAGTATACAGTGGACCCCCGCTTAACGATCACCTCCCAATGCGACCAATTATGTAAGTGTATTTGTGAGTGCGTTTGTACGTGTATGTTTGGGGGTCTGAAATGGACTAATCTACTTCACAATATTCCTTATGGGAACAAATTCGGTCAGTACTGGCACCTGAACATACTTCTGGAATGAAAAAATATCGTTAACCGGGGTCCACTGTACTTCGTGTCTACTTACTTTTATTTTACTACAATATTTCACTATTTTACTATTTCCATTATTTATTTTGCTTATTTATACAGGACCCCAATGGAAATAAGTCACTTAGTCTGACTTTTTTTGGGTTATCCCAGGTTCTCTACACATATGCTGCTATGTATGATAATCTATGTAACTGTATTTGTGTATACAGTGGTACCTCGAGTTACGAACTTAGTTCCAGAAGGCTGTTTGAGTGCTGATACCGAACAAATTCGTTCCCATGGGGAATAATGTAAATTTGATTAGTCCTTTTCAGACCACCAAAAATACACTTCCAAAAGCACTTACAAAAATACACTTAAATAATTGTTCGAGTTGGGATCTGTTCGAAACTCGATGTACCACTGTACCTGAATAAACTTATTTAGTCACCTACTAGCTGTGTCCTATCAAGGTAGGATAACCCAAAGAAAATACATGAGTAGTCTCTTTCACTCTAGCTGCCTTTGCAGAAATGCAAATGCATTATATGCCATTTGAAAGTTTATTGCTTTTGTAATTTGTTCAGCTATCAAACCTTTGGGGCCCAGTCCCTGGATCCATTATGTACCTGTGTAATCTTTTGACTACTGCCGACAGAAAGGGTATTCGGTGCATAATGAAGAAAATAAACTAATTATAGGCCTGTGGTGCCCCCACTGAACTTCAACATCCCCAGACGACAAAAATTTATGCACGAAGTACCCACATGTAGGAGATCAAAACTTATAATGATGTTTTGGTCCAACTTGAACCATTAGCTAGTCTGTGTAACGTGTTAATATACATAACTAGTTACAACTATTATCACATTGAATGTGTTCACATTATGTTAATATGCCATGTCTAGTTTTCAGTAGTGTGTAAGCATTAATATTAGTCTGTCTGAAATGCTTAAGTATTTCAGTGGCTTTCTTTGTATTTTAATAATATTTTATTTTATTCTTATAAACCTCCACCTTGACTACCTCGTATTAGTATTAACATTAAATAAGATTTTAATAACAGTAACCACTATTATCTTGTCTAGATTTAAGTAGTTATGTACTAGGATTAGTCTGCCCGAAATGCCCCGGCATGATAGTGACTTTCTTTGTACTTAGCAAACCAAAATTGTAATTATACATTGTAACCTTTGCAGAGAAATAAATTTTTAGCTTTATCTTTATATGTAAATTAGGGTAATATTTACGAAGGGATTCAGGGAAACCAGCAGGCCGGACTTGAGTCCTGGAGGTGGGAAGTGTTAATGTTCCAGTTTTATAACTGTAGTGTAAGCGTGCCTCTGACAAGACAGTGATGGAGTGAATGATGGTGAAAGTTTTTCTTTTCCGGGCCACCCTGCCTTGGTGGAAAATGACCAATGTGTTAATAAAATAAAAAATATCACACATTGTATATTTTGCAAAGAAAGGAAAATTTAATTTGATACAAATTGGGCGATAATGTTACAAGTTTGTCTTCTATATTCTCGTTATTTGTATATTGCTCCCGATGTGGTATTGTGCCTTTTTATTACAGATACAGTTTTTTTTTTTTCATAGTATACAGTGTGTGATTTACATATTATAAAGGGGCAGAACAACAACTTTTAAAAAAAAAAATTGGGAAATTTTAAATAAAATTTAAAATACGGGAAATTTTCTTCTTCCCCGAACTTTTTTTAAGTTTTTGTAGCATGAAAGTTTAATTAGTCATTTTTTTCTTATACGTATTTTTTTGTAACTTTTAAATGACCATGTTAGTTTAAATTTTACTTTTTTTATTTTGCCCAAATTACGGGTTTTGGACGGGAATATAATAGTTGGGTTTTGAACATCCCAAAAAAGCCCTCTGTATGGGGAGCTTTTTTGGGCAAAAACTTAAAGTTTAAATTTAAAGAATAAAAAAAATTTTTTACACTGTTATTGCCTTTTTAATTTTAAAGTTAATTTTAAAGTTTGTTTAAAAAATGCTGTGCTTTAAAGGGAATTTTTCGCCCGTACACCCATTTGGTTATTTTCTTTGTTTAAATATGAAATTTCTGTGATATAAACCTTTTAAACTGTGTCTTATTGCTGTTATGAGTACAAAAAAGGACGGGGTGAGTGTGGTGAAAGCGTGCCCTTTTTTTTTTTTGGAGTCACCCCGTATTTTTAAAAACCCTTTTCAGGGCCCCTTTCCGTAAAATTACGGCTGGGGGTTTGGTGCCCAAAACCTTTTAGATCACCCCAAAAATTTTCCTTGCCCCCGTCAAATTTAGCGCGGGAAAGCGCTAATAGGCCTACATATGAGAGAATGGGTCCCTGCGCGGTGGTGGGGGGCCGCCAAAAACCAAAAAATCTAGGGCCTGCTTAGCATTGGGGGGAACGCCGGGGCTCAGTCCCCCTTGTTCCCCGGGTCTCGTCGCAAGTCAGCTTGCCCCCCGGGAAAAAATTTGGGATCTCCCTTCCTTTTGTTTATTTTCTGACACTGATTGGAAGGGGAAAGGGGAAGGGACAAATTCTACGGCTTTGATGGGGGTTAGTGCCCAAAAAAATAATGCCGGGGATATCGATAATAGTGCAAAACCCCCAAACGATTTTCGCCTTCTCCCTCTGGTGGGGGAAAATGTGACTCAGGGTTTCGGTTGTTCCTAAACGTTAAGGGGAAACTAATTTTTCCCGTGGCCGGGCCTCTGCCCTTCGAAATTTGCGTTTGTTTTTTGACGTGGATTGTGATTTTTTTTTTTGCGTTTCGACGTTCATTCGAGTGTGATAGTGATGGAAAACCTATTCCCCAGGAAAAGCGTCGGTATGTGCGCCGCCGAATGGCTCGGGTAGGGCCCCCCTATGTTTCCCCGGGGAAAAGGAAAGTACATCCCTTTAGTAAAACCCCGGGAGTACATCCCGGGGCCCCCTACCCCCCTTTTTTTGGGTGTGATATGAGGTTGATGTGGCTCCTTGGCATGGATGGGCCCACAGATTCAGTGGATGGTGTTAGTGGGGTGGTGGTGGTAGGGGCCCGCCATGCGTGATCGTGTGCCACGGGGGAAACCCAGGTTTGCTGAACCGCCCGTTCAAGGCCAAAGCGGAGGTCACCCAAAAAGCCGCCCCCCAACCCCCCGAAACAAAAAACCCTTGTTTTTCCCAGTATCCCCCAAAGAAACCGTATCGGGGGGTTTGGGCACCCAAAATCCCCAATTTTTTTCCCAAGCCCTCCCCCACTTTGAGGACTCGCAAAGGGGGAATTTTTAAACCTCCCCCTGCCCCCTTGGAACCCGGCCAATGAAGGGAAATTCTTTGAATTATTTTTAAACCACCCTTTGGGGAAAAACTATTGTCGGGGAAAGTAAAAAGGGATTTTCAGTAACCTTGGCAAATACGATTTTTCCCACAGTAAAGGGATACACAGGTTTGGGGAAAAGTAAAGACCTTTTGCAGAAATGTATTTGTTTTTTTCCCAATTTTTAATTTGTTAAATGCCTAAAGGCCCTAAAAGCTTTAATTTAAAAAAAGCTTATGGTCCACGGATCGGCAAATTTTGTCCCCAAACCCTTCAGTGAAAAAAATTCCCCATTGAAAAGGTTTTATTTTAAACTTTTAAAGTATTTTGAACTTTTGCCCAAAACCGGGCCCTGACAGAAGTAAACGGTTATAAAAAGGTTTAAAGAAATTTTTTAATTTTTCCAAAAAAAAAGTTAGGTTAAAATTTTATCCATTCAAGAATTTGTAATTGACGGGTCTTTGATTTTGTTCAAAGGTAAAAGCTGTCATTCAAGCGTAAAAAAAAGGCAAAAGGGGAACCGCTTTTGAAAAAAATTGTTTTTTTACTCTGTGATTGTGACAGGGGCCCTGGTGTTGGAATTGTTGTAAAACACGGGTTTAGTAAAAATTGAAAGATCCCAAAGATGTTTTTGGGGGTATATAGGTGAGTAGTGAGAAAATTTATGGCACCTTTTCTTGGTAAGGGCCTACATTATATACCGATAAAATGGTAAACCAAACCCTTTTCTCAGTGATTTCATGCGACGGGGAAACAAAGGACAGAAGGGGTGTGGCCCAAATGCGGTTTTTAATCGTAAACATTGCCCAGGGGTCAAGCAGGTGTTCGTGGGGGGATGACGTTTCAGGTGTTTACTGCCCAAAGACATTTAGGGGATTTTCGGTGGGCCCCTGAAAAACGAAATGTCACAAAATTTTTGACAACCTTTTACCGTTTAAAGAAAAGCAAGGCCCGTGGCAAAGTTTATCGAATTGGACTAATGAAAAATATTCGGAAAAAACCCGTGACAGTGATTGATTATACAAAAACATTTCGCTTGGTTGACAAATGTGACATGAAAATTGGTTTTGTTGATGTGTTCGTAAGGGTTTCAAAAGGGGGTACTTTAAAAATTTTTTTCCATTTTCATGGCATTTCCCAAAGTGAATGCATATAATATGTACCAAAAAAAAAAAATGGTAAAGGCCCCCGTTTTTGGTGAATTTTTTTTGTTTTGTTGCAGACAAACTCATAATGAAGTAACCCGGTATCAACACCCAAAACAAAAATGGTCCTGAATTATCAAAATATACCCAAGCCCTTTTGAGGGAAAAGAAGGTGATTTTTCATTTAAAACAGCTTCCTTCCCCTCAAAAGAAATTTTTTCAGAAGAGGGGGCATTGTCTGTGACAAACAAAAAAGACGGCAACAAAGACGCAAAGACACTCGGTTTATGTGTGAGGAAGGGGGTTTCCCCTGTGCATGGGGCCTTGTTTTTTAAGGGGTTCCACAAGCTCCCAGCAGTTCTAAAAACCAAAGTCCCGTGATTGTAAAAATTGTTAAAAATTTTGATTAGAATTTTGTATTTTCCAAAATTTTTTTGCTGTTTTTTTGTAATAAACAACAGTGGGGAAACAATAATATGATATAACTTTAGTGCGGTTATTGTGTTCAATTTTAGTGAGTTTTATATTAAAAAAATTTTATCGTTTTTTGGTCTTTCAGGCCCCAAATGTTAGTAAAAAAAGGAATAGAAAAAAAAAATTTGGGAAAAAAAAAAAAAAGAAAAAACAAAATAAAAATAAAAAAAAAATTAAAATAATTTTGGTAGTGGAATTCGTCGTTGTTTGGGCCCCAAAATTATTTTCTACAAACTTTTGGCACTGTATCTCGGGAAGTACTGATCGATTTTAAATTTTTTTTGGTTTTTTTTACTTCAAAAAAATTGTCTTTTAATTCTGTAAGAAAAAAAAAAATTTTTTTTTTTTTCAAAATTTTCTTTTGGGCACTGGTGCGTGGGCTTCAGATTTTGGGGCCCTTGGGCCCTGAAAGGGTTTAAACACAAAAAAAAAATCAAAGCAATTGCCACTTTCAAAATCAGGTTGCTTAACCCGGTTTTTAATGAAAATTTTTTCCCCAGAGATTTCTTTTTTCACAATTTGAGGCAGTTTTTTTAAATGTTTTAAAAAAGGGGCTTCGTTTTATCTCTATGGGTTTGTGCTACCTTTCCCGAGTGACTGTTGTTAAAAGTCTTATTATTTATCTTTTTTTTTTTTAACCCAAATTTCTTAATCTTATTTTTTAGCCTGTTTTCTTAAAACTTATTTTTTTTTTGTTGGTTTTAATTTTTTATTTTTTTTTAACTCATCAAATTTAAAGTCCCGTAATTTGGCCGGATGAAACCCCAAAAAAAAAAACTCCCTTTATTCAGTCAGTCTTTCCGGGGGAAATGTTGGGCGCAGCCCCATGCCTTTCATGTAAAATCAAGCCCACACGTACGTAAATTTGGGTTTTATAAAAATATTCTTTTTTTTTAAAAAACCCCAAATTCCTATATAAATTTAACTATGTTTGTATTAGATTTTTAGAAATAAAATTTTAAAATTTATTTTTTTCTCCTTTTTTTACTGATTTGACAATTTATTTTTTAATTTTTTAAAATTGGGTTTTACAGTATTTTTTTTTTGGGTTTTTTCCCAGCCCCGGGGATACAAACAACCTAAAACGGATTTTTTTTTTTTTTCAGTGCATATATGTATCTATAGATTTTATCCCGTTCACAGCAAAAAATTAAAAAATGATCTTGATGGTTTTTTTTTTCCTGTAAAAAAAGTGATGTAAAGGAAAGTCATTATTGTGACTTATTTCAGTGGTGCCCCGGAGTTTCAGCCCCTAATTGTTCCCCGAAGGCCCGTTCGGGTTGATGTTACCGAACAAATTTGTTTCCCCAAAGGGGAAAAATTTTAAATCGATTTGGTTTGTTTTTAGAACCCCAAAAATATACTTACAAAAGCACTTACAATAATACACTTACATAATTGTTCGAGTTGGGAGCTGTTCGAAACTTGGGGTACCACTGTATGTATAATAACATTTGACGTGTTTGAGTGTGAGCAAAGTAATGTTTATAAAGGGATTCAGGAAAATCGGTTAGCCGGACTTGTCCTGGAGGTGGAAAGTACAGTGCCTGCACCCTGAAGGAGGGATGTAGATACATTGCTGTTTTTTTAATGGTAGTGTTACCATGCCTCAGGCAAGACAGTGATGGAGTGAATGATGATGAAAGTGTTTCTTCTTTTTCTGGTCACCCATCCTCGGTGAGAAATGGCTGATGTTTTAATGAAAAACTTTACAAATAACATTTATAACTCTACATTGCAGACATCATTGTGTGAGGTGCCAGGCGGCTCTCATGTGGCACTCTACTGCTCTGACACTATGACACTAGCAGTTAAGCTCTATTTCAATGGACTGATCTCTGCTACTGTGGAGTATTACACAGATGAAGTTAATGAACACAAGATATCTAATGATGTAAGTATTTTAGTTTTTCGTAATAATGGTAAAATTACTGGCAGAATGTTACGTAATGGAGAACAAGCCACATGGGGATGGAATTCTTCAGCTTTAGACCTCTTGCACTTTAGACCTCTCGCACTTTTGCATCATCAGGAGCTATGCATGTTGCAAGACAGCAAGAGATAGGAGGGGAAATTCTCCAACACAAGGTGGAAGGTATTAATGGTGGCCCATGACAGATGCAACCAGTGTGACATTTTTGTGTCATTGTTTTGCTTGTCAAAGCTCTGGAAAGCAAAACATTGCCTCATAAAATGTCACATTAATTGCATTTGTGTCCGTTTACCTAATATTTATTTTTTATTTTTGCACATGACATATTTACTGTTGTGTAGAAGCCTGTATAGTAAGATTAGAGTAATAAAATGCAGTGGAACCTCAAGTTTCGTACAAAATTCATTCCAGAGGCTGTTTGAGTGCCGTTACTGAAGGAATTTGCTCCCATAATGAGTAATATAAATTAGATGAGTGTTTCAGACCCCTAAAAATACACTTAAGCACTTACAATAATACACTTACATAATTGTTTGAGTTGGGAGCTGTACGAAACTTGGGGTACCATTGTACTTCATATTTTATAAGCAGAACAGATTTATTGTCCATGGTAGTATTACCATGGGAAAGTGAAGATAACATTTTCCTTATTGAGGATTCTTATATTCATTTATTTTCATGTTAATTCCCCTTCATTATCTCTGCTATTTTCTGTTTTTATTCTTTTCTTAATATTTTTTTTTGTCTTCATTACTCGTGCCTTTATTTTTCCTACGTTCAGCTTAATCAGTTTTCCAGATTTGCTGAGGCAATATTTAATTTTGTCTTTATGTTCTTGTTTTTCAATCTCATCAGTTAGTTTGGCTAGTATCATCCATTGTGTAAATTACCTAGGATAACTCAGTCAGACAAATGGCTTATTTCCATTGGGATTAGGTTTGATTAGGTAAGATTGGTTAGGTTAGGTATGATTGGTTAGGAAACAGGGCAAGTATTTCCTGATGTGGGTCTGAGTCATGTGATGTCCCGCTCACTGGTGCTTTAGGTCATCTTACTGAGGTGAATATATTTATTGTAAGAAGTCTGAATAAATGTAGAATGGGTATAATTGAAAGCTGCTGTATTAGCGAGATGCTGTAAAGCCGGGCCCTCCGGTTCGTAGCTTTCCTTTATAAATCTTTATTTAATCTGGGTAATGATAATCACTGTGACTTAATTGCAATATGTTATTTCCATGCAATGTGTGAACTTTGTTTATATTAGAGTTTGAGATGGAATGTGAGATGGAGAGATTTTTTGATTTGAGATACGGGTTGGGGGTGGTAAGCAGGTAGCATTTATGCATGGATTTCATAAGGAAGAACTGGATAGCAAGGATTTGAATCTGGTAGGTTAGGGAGTACAGTGCCTACACTCTGGAAGGATGTTGCAGTGCAGAGGGTCAATTTGACATTGTTTTATCTGTAAGATGGTGATTGAATAAATAATTTTTTGTGGGGGGCTGGAGGGGTGTCTTCATCCATTGTGAGAATGGCTGATGAGTTAAACATATTAAATTGTTATGTGGTTGCTTTTGCTTTCTCCCTCGATTATATAGATACCTAAATTTTGTCATAGTATTTTATGTGCAAAGTGCGCACTATAAGTGTTATAATTATAGGCTATCTAAGATGTTTTCACAAACTTCTTCCTTTGCCTTTTTGCACCTACAACTGCAAATTTGTTTTTTTGTTTTGATTATGCTTGGATCTTTTTTTTATTGACCTTTTTTTTATCCATATCAAAGGTACATTAAGGCATTATTTGCTCTGTCTTCATTCATTCTTATACATATGAACACCTCTACGTACGAGTGTTTCCACATGCAAGTTTTTCCAGGTACGAGTGGAGCTCAAGAAAAATCGAACTTAATTTCGTTCCAGAGATAATGGTTGGTTGTGTTCTAAATTGCGAAGAATGACAAGTCTGGATACTTGTTCGTATAGCGCAGGTATTTCCATAAGGAAAATAATGGTATTGTACAGATTAGAATCCGCTTCCAGAATAAGCCAAAAAGTGGATTCACACAAAATAATACTCATTTATAGAGGATTAATTACAGTTTTACTTACAACAAATTTACTATAGGATGTTTTAATTATGTATAGTAATACATATAAAAATAACATTTTTACTTACCTTTAGTGACAGATGGTGATGGCATAATGGAAGATCAGGGAGGAGGAGAGAGGGAGTTAGGAGGTTAGTGTTTGGAAGGTGAATCCCCCTTGTGACCATGCCTTATGATTAGCTTTCCACAAGACACATAACTTGTTCTTAATGAAATTGTTTTCTTAAACCTGGGATTTTTGAATGATACACAAGTAATGGCTTCACTTTAAAATCTCCACTAGCATTAGCACAGAACAAAAGACGTAAGCCTGTCTTTCAATAGGTTGTATGCCTGGCAGTGCCTTTTCCTCTATGTGATGAGGGTCCTTTTTGGAATTTTCTTTCCAGAACAGGCCTGTTTCGTCACAATTCAATAACACTTGTTCAGGTTTGTATTCTTGCATGTCTATGTACCCCTTAAAACTCCTGTATAAACGTCTCAGTGCACGATGTCTGAACTGGTGCCTCACCATTCTTACAACATTGTGTATGCACGATGCTTCTTTATCTGTCAAACCAGCCCTCTGGTGGCCTTAAAATTCCACTATCAGACTGGTTCAAGGCGTTTTCTTTACCAGATCTGCTCAGTGCTATTCCTTGCCTTTTCGCAAATAATCGTCTCTGAAACACTTTCACCTGCAATTCTCTTTATCCTTGATCACACCATGCAAACAACTTCTCAACCTCTTCGCTAATAATTTGTGGTCGTTTTTTGGTTGCCACAAACATTCAGTTCCTTGATTTGTTCTTTTCTGACGTAGGATAGAACCGTTGCTCGACTTGTTTTTCCATTAACATCCTGGCATAGCTCAACAAGTCTCACACCAACTTATACTTCTGTTTTAGTTTCCTTCTTCACTCTATGGAGTTTCTCACTTTCTTTACCCACAGGGGTACCAATTGCAAGTTTCTTTGGGCCATGGCGCTTATTTCACAGTCCACTAGCACTAAACCACAATGAAATTAATCATAAAATGTGTGAATGTGAGCGCAGGTTAGTGTCACTCAAGCATAAACATAGCTTAGACTACTCACAGCGCCTGCGCGGGGGACACGGGCAGAGCGGGCCGGGAGACAGGTCCTGTACCCGGCGGTCCGAAAATAGGGGCGCGTGCGATAATTGGGACACAGTTTGTCCGAAAAAATGGTCCTATTTTCGAAACGTTCGATACGTGATACGTTCGATTTTTGAGGTTCCACTGTACAAGCAGTTGCTCGGTCAATTTTTTGCTTCCAGATGCAAGCGGGCCTCAGGGGAGGTTCCTTGACGCTGGTGAGGGGCTCTTGCTCTTGGTCTAGGGAATTGAATTTGAATTGTTTGTTAGACTATCTTATTGAAACTTGGGCAATGTATGATGGAAAGATGCTTCTTAGCATACACCAAAAATGAAAGAAATCGGACCATAAATAGCGGAGTACACTTCTCGGTCATTAGCCTCCCCTTAGCGGTATATTTTCGTATGGTTTTTATGTTTGTATTCTCGTTTTTTTTATCTCTTTCAATAGAATGGAAGATATACTACAGAAATAGATATGATTTTGATTGGTTTCATGATGAAAAGTACCTTGAAATTGAGCTCAAAGTAGCAGAAATGTTCGATTCTTTGGCAATATTCAATGCAAATAAATGATGTCACCATCCAATACCTGTCCGATTGGCACTGCCCCTCAACCCTTACTGTATTGGAAGAGGCTTCTTCAGCACACTAGCAAAAGTGGGAGCAGACAATACGAGGTAGCAGTAGCAGACAACATGAAGCAGGAGTGGCAGACAACATGAGGAAGCAGTGGCAGACATGAAGCAGCAGTGGCAGACAACATATTAATAGGGAAATTATTGAACCATTTTCTCATGCCTGGAATTCCACTGGAATGAATTAATTCATTCAGTTAAATTTAAAGGAGAGGTAAATTGATCTGCAAATGAGCAATTCCATATGCGAGTCGAGGTTAAGCTGAACGGATTAAAACTCTAAGTAGAGGTTCACCGTACTGCTAACAATAGTTGAAGAATATAGGCATTGAACAAAGCTTTTTATTGGGACAGTTTTTTATTTTACATATTTCATCTCCCACATGGCAGGGACAACTCGAAAAGAAGACCTTAAAAGATTTTCTTTTCACATTTCGTAGTTTATACATTAGAAGAAAGTTACTAGCCCCTTTGCTCCTGGCATTTTAGCCCCCTCTTAAGATACGCATGGCTTACAGAGGAAGGAATTCTTCTCCACTTCCCATGGAGATGAAAGGAATAGCAAAGAAACAAGAAACTATTAAGTAATGAAGAAAACTAAGGTGGGTATTGTCTACATATGTAGCATGTGTAACGAGTCCTATGTGTAGAAGTAGATAGTAGCAGGATATAAAGGACCCCAGTGGAAATATAAGTAAATTTGGGTTTTGGACCTTTTTTTTGGTTATCGATAGGTTCTCTAACATATGCTGCTATATAAGATAAATTTGTATTCACCTAATTGTCTCGCCTAATTGTGGTTGCAGGGTTGGTACTCAGCTCCTGGCACCTGCTCCTCTTCACCAAATGCTACTAGGTTCTCTCTTTCCCTGCTCCACGAGCTTTATCATAACCTATCTTAGCTGTGTATGGTTCTGCTTCCACTTCATCACTCGCCAGATGTTCCACTTCCTGATGCTCTATGGATCTGAAGAAAAACTCCCTATACATCCTCTTTGATACTGTCGTTCTGGTCTTCAACTTCATAGCGTGATCCCTTGTTTCTGTGTTCCCTCTCTGGAACATCCTGTCACTGTCCACCTTGTCTATTCCATGCAGTATTTTGTATGTTAACAAGTCTCCCCTAACCCTTCTGTCCTCTAGTGTCGTCAGGCCGATTTCCCTTAACCTTTCTTCGTAAGACATTCCCCTTAGCTTTGGAACTAACCTTGTCGCAAACCTTTGCACTTTCTCTAATTTCTTGATGTGCTTGACCCTGTGCGGGTTCCAAACTGGTGCTGCATACTCTAGTATGGGCTTGACGTACACAATGTACAGTGTCTTGAAAGATTCCTTGTACTCACCTATTTGTACTCACATATTTGTGGTTGCAGGGGTCGAGTCCTAGCTCCTGGCCCCGCCTCTTCACCGGTTGCTACTAGGCCCTCTCTCTCCCCGCTCCATGAGCTTTATCAAACCTCGTCTTAAAACTGTGTATGGTTCCTGCCTCCACTACGTCATTTTCTAGGCTATTCCACTGCCTTACAACTCTATGACTGAAGAATTTTTTTTTTTTACAAAAACCCTTTTCCTTCTATCTCATCTGACTCATTTTGTGTCTTCAAATTCCAATTGTGGCCTCTTGTTTCTGTGTCCCCTCCCTGGAACATCCTGTCCTTGTCCACCTTGTCTATTCCACGCAGTATTTTATATGTCGTTATCATGTCTCCCCTGACCTTCTGTCCTCCAGTGTCGTCAGGGCGCGACATTTTGTGTAACACTACATAAACTTTACCTGTTATCTTGTATGTTTAAGATAAAGAAAAGACACCAGCAATTGTACTTTTGTGATAAAAACCATTACCAGTTTTGTTTCAATTCATTAGCAGAGGGTATTACTCCGTGGGTGAATGCTGTTTACCAGCTTATTGTATTGTTGAATTATGTGACCTTGGTTAGTTTGGCAAAATTGATATACAATACCAGAAAGGCCTAGGAACCAACGGTGCTGGTAAATTGGATTTGTACATATATCATATTAGATAGCAGTTAACTATTGCTGTTATTGACTTACTGTATTGTAGAAGATATTGTGATTATTGTTTTTGTGATTATTGTGATTATTATTGTGGTTATTATTATTGTAGTTATTATTACAGTAAGTCCTTGACTTACAAACATAATGGACCTTCTGAATTGTGTATATATTCATAATACAGGCATGCTTACACTCCAGTTATAAAACTGCAACATTAACACCCCTCCTTCAGAGTGCAGACACTGTACTTCCCATCTCCAGGACTCAAGTCTGGCGTGGTGGTTTCCCTGAATTCCTTCATTAATAGTATTGTTACCTTGCTTCACAATCCGACAAGCACGTTCAAGTCCTAAAAATCTTTGCTCCATTCGTACTATCTAACACGCTACACATGCATTCCTGGAAGTCCAAGCCCTCTCACAACAAAACCTCCTTACCCTCCTTTCAACCTTTCCTAGGCTGACCTCTACTCCTCCTTCCCTCCATTACAGATTTGTACACTCTCAGTCATTCTGTTTTGTTCCTTCCTCTCTACATGTCCGAACCACCTCAACAACCCCTCGGCTCTCTGGATAATAGTTTTAGTAATCCTGCACCTCCTCCTGATTTCCAAACAACGAAATCTCTGCATTATATTCACACCACACATTGCCCTCAGACATGACATCTCCACTGCCTCCAGCCTTCTCCTTGTTGCAACATTCACTACCCATGTTTTACACCCATATAAGAATGTTGGTACAGTGGACCCCCGGTTAACGATATTTTTTCACTCCAGAAGTATGTTCAGGTGCCAGTACTGACCGAATTTGTTCCCATAAGGAATATTGTGAAGTAGATTAGTCCATTTCAGACCCCCAAACATACACGTACAAACACACTTACATAAATACACTTACATAATTGGTCGCATTCGGAGGTGATCGTTATGCGGGGGTCCACTGTATAACTATACTCTCACACATTTCCCTCTTTGCTTTCATGGACTAAATTCCTTGTCTCCATAGACTTCTCAGTGCACCACTCACCTTTTTCTCCTCATCATGTCTATGATTCACCTCATCTTTCATAGACCCATCTGCTGACATGTCCACTCAAATATCTATTCGAATACGTTCACCTCCTCCATACTCTCTCCCTCCAATCTGATATTCAATCTTTCATCACCTAATGTTTTTGTTATCCTCATAACCTTACTCTTTCTTGTATTCACCTTTAATTTTCTTCTTTTGCACACCCTACCAAATTCATCCACCAATCTCTGCAAACTTCTCTTCAGAATCTCCCAAGAGCACGTGTCATCAGCAAAAGAGCAGCGTGACAACTCCCACTTTGTGTGTGATTCTTTATCTTTTAACTCCACGCCTCTTGCCAAGACCC